CCAATCCCGCCCCACAGATCCCAATCCCGCCCCACAGATCCCAATCCCGCCCCACGGATCCCAAATCCCCCCCCGCTCACGCAGAGCCGCGGGCTCAGCAGCGCCGTCAGCTTCAGCTGCATCGCCGGCTCGGGGCCCGCGGCCGCCGCCAGCGCCACGCAGCGCAGCGCGGCCTCGCAGTTCCCGTCCCGCCACGGCTCCCTGCCCACGCGGGACACCAAAAACCCATCCGTGACCCACGGGGGACCCCACACCATCAGTGACCCCCAAACTGCCCCACAGATCCCGTCCCGCCACGCAGCGCAGCGCGGCCTCGCAGTTCCCGTCCCGCCACGGCTCCCTGCCCACGCGGGACACCAAAAACCCACCAGTGACCCACGGGTGACATCCGTGACCCACGGGGGACCCCCAAACTGCCCCACAGATCCCGTCCCGCCACGGCTCCCTGGACACCAGAGACCCACGCGGGACATCCGTGACCCACGGGTGACATCCGTGACCCACGGGGGACCCCCAAACTGCCCCACAGATCCCGTCCCGCCACGGCTCCCTGCCCCACGGGTGACATCCGTGACCCACGGGGGACCCCCAAACTGCCCCACAGATCCCATCCCGCCACGCAGCGCAGCGCGGCCTCGCAGTTCCCGTCCCGCCACGGCTCCCTGGACACGCGGGACATCCGTGACCCACGGGTGACATCCGTGACCCACGGGGGACCCACGGGGGACCCCAAACTGCCCCACAGATCCCGTCCCGCCACGGCTCCCTGCCCCACGAGTGACATCCGNTGCCCCACAGATCCCGTCCCGCCACGGCTCCCTGCCCCACGAGTGACATCCGTGACCCACGGGGGACCCACGGGGGACCCCAAACTGCCCCACAGTTCCTGTCCCGCCACGGCTCCCTGCCCACGCGGGACACCAAAAACCCATCAGTGACCCACCAGTGAGCCATAAGTGACCCCAAACCCCATCAGTGACCCCAAAACCCCACCAGTGACCCACAAATGACCCATAAGTGACCCAAAAACCCCAAAACTGACCCTAAAGCCCCACCAGTGACCCCCAAACCCCACCAGTGACCCACAAATGACCCATAAGTGACCCCAAAAACCCCAAAACTGACCCTAAAGCCCCACCAGTGACCCCCACACCCCACCAGTGACCCACGAGTGACCCACCAGTGACCCCCAAACCCCATCAGTGCCCCACCAGTGACCCCCACACTCTACAAGTGACCCACGAGTGACCCATAAGTGACCCCAAAAACCCCAAAAGTGACCCATAAGTGACCCCAAACCGACCCCAAAAGTGACCCTAAAGCCCCACAAGTGACCCCCACACCCCACCAGTGACCCACGAGTGACCCATAAGTGACCCCAGAACTGCCCCACCAGTGACCCCAAACCCCACCAGTGACCCATAAGTGACCCCAGGACATCCCAAGTGACCCCAAACCGACCCCAGCAGTGACCCCACACCCCAAACCCGACCCCAAACCCGACCCCCCCCGGTGCCCGGTGCCCGCTGACCCCCGGTGCCCCCCGGTGCCCGGTTCCCGTTTCCTGGTTCCCGTTTCCCATTTCCCATTTCCCATTTCCCGGTTCCCGTTTCCCAGTTCCTGGTTCCCGTTCCCCGTTTCCTGGTTCCCATTTCCCATTTCCCATTTCCCGTTTCCCGTTTCCCAGTTCCCATTTCCCCCATTTCCCGTTTCCCGTTTCCCATTTCCCATTTCCCGTTTCCCGTTTCCCATTTCCCACTTCCCAGTTCCCGTTTCCCGTTTCCCGTTCCCATTTCCAGTTCCCATTTCCCATTTCCCATTTCCCATTTCCTGTTTCCCGTTCCCATTCCCCTTCCTGGTTCCCGTTTCCCGTTTCCCTGTTCCCATTTCCCATTTCCCATTTCCCGTTTCCCGGTTCCCGTTTCCCGTTTCCCATTTCCCCCATTTCCCATTTCCCGTTTCCCGGTTCCCGTTTCCCAGTTCCTGTTTCCAGTTTCCCATTTCCCATTTCCCGTTTCCCGTTTCCCGTTTCCCATTTCCCCCATTTCCCGTTTCCCGTTTCCCGTTTCCCATTTCCCATTTCCCGGTTCCCGTTTCCCAGTTCCTGGTTCCCGTTCCCCGTTTCCTGGTTCCCATTTCCCATTTCCCGTTTCCCGTTTCCCATTTCCCATTTCCCGTTTCCCGTTTCCCATTTCCCAGTTCCCGTTCCCGTTTCCCGTTTCCCATTTCCCGTTCCCGTTTCCCGTTTCCCGTTTCCCATTTCCCGTTTCCCATTTCCTGTTTTCCGTTCCCATTCCCGTTTCCCGGTTCCCCGGTTCCCGTTCCCGTTTCCTGTTCCCATTTCCCATTTCCCAGTTCCCGTTCCCATTTCCCATTTCCTGTTTCCCATTCCCGTTCCCGTTCCTGGTTCCCGTTTCCCGTTTCCCTGTTCCCCGTTCCCTGGTTCCCGTTTCCCATTTCCCATTTCCCGTTTCCCATTTCCTTGTTCCCCGTTTCCCGGTCCTGTTCCCGTTTCCTGTTCCCGTTTCCCGTTCCCGTTCCCATTTCCCATTTCCCATTTCCCATTTCCCATTTCCCATTTCCCGGTAGTTTCCTGGTAGTTTCCCGGTAGTTTCCCGGTGGTTTCCCGGTACCGCTGTCCGCGGGGCCCTTCGCCCTCCATGGGCACGGCGAGCAGCGGGCGCACCCCGCGGGCGCGGAGCCGCTGCCCCGTTCCCATTTCCCATTTCCCATTTCCCATTTCCCATTTCCCATTTCCCATTTCCCGGTAATTTCCCGGTAATTTCCGGTTCCGGTACCGCTGTCCGCGGGGCCCTTCGCCCTCCATGGGCACGGCGAGCAGCGGGCGCACCCC